TCTCGAATAGGCGCCACACTGTCAGCACAGAGCCCGAAGCCATGTCTGAACTCACGAACTCACGCGAGATCTTGACCTAAGCCAAAATCAAGAGTTGGACACTTAACTGACTGAGCCACCCGGGTGCCCTGAGTTTAGAGCACTCAAATAATGCGCCTCAGGTCACAGATTCATGGTTGGGCTGTCAGTAATGCTGCCAACTCCAGCTCAGGCTCTGGCCTGGACCCTCTTCTGGTCTCGGCTCCCAGCCCAGGGCCAGGAAGCAGCCCTTCCAGCACTTTCTAACACCCACTTGGAGCCACACGTGGGGTGGAAGCCAGGACAGCGATGAATCAGGTTCCGTCCTCAGAGCTGCCCAGCCTGGGGGAAAGACTCCTCATCAACCCTGATACGTGGTGAAGGTGGAGGCGCCAGAGAGGGCCTTTCAGGCCAAGGAAACAGCACAGGCGAGGTGTAGAGGCATCAGGAGCCCGAGGAGACTGCAGTGGAGGGTGGAGGGGGCCTGGAAGCTGGTTGGGATGAGGCTGTCTCCTCATCCCTGTGGAGATGCTCCCTGACATCCGAGCAGCTCACAGGGGCAGGGACTTGACATCACCTTCGTTCATCCTCACAAGAACCCTGTGGGATCTCCAACTGGCCCGTGAGAAACACTGAATTCAGAGTAGCTTCATTTCCTCTGTCTGCCCTGGCACACGTTGGGCCTTGGGCTTTTTACCTGGGTGTCCTCCCCGGGTTGACCCAGCCCTACCCGTTTATCACCATCAGCTCCCAGGACTTCCCAGACCCTGCGCTGCTTGGCAAAACCTGCCTGGAACCCCGGGGGCGCGCGGGCGGGGGGCGCATGTGACTCTGTGTTGCGCGCTCCGGGCTGGCCCACATCGCAAGTGCCAGGGTGCACGGATCCCTCTCCAGATCAGCCGCCTGGGGTCGAATGCGTGGCTGTTCACCCCCAACTCACCCCAACCAAGCAGCGCTGCACCATTTGCAATGTGCTCACAGAAACCTAGTCTTAACTGAATCCCTGCACGCACACCAAAGGGACTACGCTCCCCACTGCACAGAAACTGAGGCCCAAAGAGGCTCAGTGACTCCTGTACCCCACGGCCACAAAGTGGCAGAACCAGGTCTGGGACGCTGCTCTTGTTCAGCTCAGGCTCAGGTCCTTGGCCAGCCCCAGCCTGGGGGAGGGGGAGGGCCCTGGAGTACCAAAGTGGGCATGCCCACGCCAGCACTTAGCGGGATGTGACCTGAAGAACAATCCTGAGTTCATTCTGAGCAATTCTGGGATCACTCTGAGTGAGCCCCAATCCCCTGACTTCTGAAATGGGGGTAAAGGTACCTCGCGGTGTTGTTCGCAGGGTTGAGTGGAGGTTAAAGGAGAGGCTGGAAAAGAAAGAGCACCTACTGGGTGCCGTTAGGTCCATCATGCCTGCACACAGGAGGCAGTCAACAAATTGGGACTCAGTGATCCTGACCCAGCACGGCCAGCAGCGGGGTGGCGTAAGAGTGAGGCAAGGACGGATTAGGAATTCAAGAGGATTACTTTGCAATCAGCTGAACCGAACGGCCTAAGCTGCCTGGGAAACACTGGGATCAGACTGTTCATTTAATTTATTCGTCAATGACTGTTGAACACTTAGCTGAGCTGTCACAGTGATGATGAGGGTGGTGACAGCGGCTCTCAATTATTTCTGCCATGTCCCAGGTATTAATACGGTCTCATCACATCAACCCTGTAAGGTTGCTATTCTGTGCAAAGGTTTTTTTTTTTTTTTTTCCCGTCTCACAGGGCAGGTACTAATCAGGTCTGGGATGAAGGAGAGGCAAATGAGACACCCAGAGCACAAATTTAAGGAGGCTCTTGCTGTCATAGCTCTTATGACATTGGCCTCACCGTGTCCCCACCTGTGCTTGTGGTGGACTCTGTGACGTGCTGCCCAGACCCCCTTCCGTGAGTTGTCCTGGCTACTGGGGCTGCTGGCCCTGCAGACAGCCGTCCCCTGCCAGCTCCCAGAGGGACTGCTCAGCAGCAAAGAGCTGCCTTGCCCAAGGTCAACTGCCACCGGAGCTCCCCATGGGGCTGGCCAAGGCTCTGGTTGGGTCTGCTCTGTAGCTTTCTCTGCTCACATCTGCTCCGGCCCTTCCCTTCTACAGCTGCTGACCTTTAGGGCTCTCCCTAATAAGCTCCTTGCAAGCTAAACCGCATCAGACTCTGCTTCCTGGGGGCCCCAACCTGCAACAGTGGTCCTGCTGGAGTAAACCCCTCACTAGCTGGTTAAAACACAGCCTTTTGAAAGACTAGTATAAGGGTACCCCCGAAAAGCCCAGGCTCAGGGATACTAAACTACACACTACACTGTTCTAAACACCTTATGTGAATTGATTTAATTCATTTCCACTGCAGCCCTGCGAGGAGGAACTATTAGCGTTTCCATTTTATAGATGAGTTCAAGAGAAGTCTTGAAAAAAAAAATAAAACTACTTTGTGATGAAATCCAATCATCGTTGAAAAGATGAGTCACAATAATGGGCTTCGGCCCCAGGGAAACTTTTCGTCTGAAAAGAAAGGAAAAAAAAAAAAAAAAAAAGATGGGAAGATGTATCGTCTGGGCCACAACTCAGTTCCCAACCTTGAGGGAGCCTGACTCCCAACCCCAAAGACCCAGGCCGGGTATGAGAGTAAAATCCACAAGCCCAAGGGCAACAGGTGGGTCGCTTTAGGAAGTAACCCCAGAGAAGAGGTGAAAGATATGCACCGGATCCACAGGAAGGTGGTGATCACCACCAAAGACTCAGAAGGCAAGGTGACTTATTGAGGTTAGGCAGCTAGTAAAGAGTCGCTTCCGGAACTGGATCCCGAGGCCGTCAGAATACAAGCCTCTATGTGCTGGCAAGGACACTCCATCCTCCAAAGAATCCTCCAAAGGGTATCAGGGATTTGGAGATCCAGGTGATGGACTGCCCCAGCCTTACCTTCTATTCCGTCCACCTGTTTGTTGTCCAATTTGTCAGCAGCCCCGCTGGGAAGGATGGGGGCTGGAAATAGCTCAGCAGCTGGACTCCTTCTACACCTCCCTCCACCCTGCCTTACCTCTACAAAGAGGCAGGTGTTGGGTTTTCATTGTAATCCCTTCCATAGGGAGAGCACTTTGGTGTTTTACCAGCTGCTTGTTAACCCATCCCTGAATTTGCTCCTCATTTCTTTTTTTAATTTTTTTTTCAGCTTTTATTTATTTTTGGGACAGAGAGAGACAGAGCATGAACGGGGGAGGGGCAGAGAGAGAGGGAGACACAGAATCGGAAACAGGCTCCAGGCTCTGAGCCATCAGCCCAGAGCCTGACGCGGGGCTCGAACTCCCGGACCACGAGATCGTGACCTGGCTGAAGTCGGACGCTTAACCGACTGCGCCACCCAGGCGCCCCTTGCTCCTCATTTCTTGTGAGGCTTATTGCCTTATGAAATAGCAGGGCCAGTATATTAGCTCCATTTTACTAGTGGGAAAACTGAGGCTCATAGAGAAGGGAATCATGATAGTGTCCAGGAGAGTGCCAGAGCCTCCCATCCCAATCCAGCCTCCTGATTTTGTTTTTAAGAGAGGGAGAGCACGCAAGTGAACGAGGGGCAGAGAGAGTGTGTGCGTGCCAAAGACAGTGAGAGAGAAACAGGGCTCACCCAAAGAGGGGCTCATGTTTACCCGAAGTGGGGCTCGAACTCACCTGATGTGGAACTTGAACTCAAGAATGGTGAGATCATGACCTGGGCCAAAGTCAAATGCTTAATGATTGAGCCACCCAGGTGCCCCAGCCTCCTGTTTGTTTTTATCTCTAGGTCTTGGGCAGAGCTGGGGCAAACACAGGCCATTCTGAGCCCAGAGCTCAGGGCAGCCCCTTTCCAGAAGCCTATCTGTCCTTCCCATCCTGTCCCAGAAAGCCCCATTATCTTAGGGGAGACCTTTATTCACTTGCCTAAGACTTCCTGTCGTCCACTCCATGCCTTCTGGTGGCTCCGGAGCCCATGGTGACACGGTATACCCTGAGTGAACTCACAGCTGGAGAGAAGAGTCATGTTAACAAACAAGTTCCTCATTAGAGCGAAGCCCAACCAGTGTTCCTCTCCAGAGTCTCTGGAATTCATTCTCTCTTCTCCAGCCCCACTGCCCTGTCCTAGCTGGTCCTCGGCATCTCTGACCTCCTCCTTGCCTTCAGAGCTTCTGTCCTGGCCTTTCACCCACCCCCACGAAACACCTAGGGATCTTTCCAGAGAGCCAATAGCAGAGGGTGGCCAGGAGCTCACAATGGTGATCAGGACTGAGGAACAACCCTGCCGGGCCTGGGAAAGCTCTCACATCTCTCCTCTGTAGAGTGGGGACCGTGCCTACTTCACAAAGTGGCTGGAAAGACCTTTGTTGTCCCTTCTAGAGACCCCATGCCCTAGTGCGTGCCCTGTACTTGTATGCTTCCTGCCTTTGAACAGGCTCTTCACTTAAACGCCACCTTCTCCAGCTCCTAAAGATCATCCTTCAAGGCTCTGTTCACATCAAATGTCGCTGCCTCCCTGAAGCCTGAACTGACACACCTCCAAGCAGCCGAAACCACTCCTTCCTCTTGAGTGGATGGTGTCTTGGCCAAGGAAGAGAGCCAGGATTCAAAGCGAGAACTGTCTGAATTGTCAGGTCCCACCCAGCTTCCCTCTGGCCTCTGTGCAGCCTGAACAAACAGGTGAGGGCAGCACCACCAAGCTCTCCCACCCTTTCTCTGGGCTGAGAAGTCCAACCTAGGTGCCTGTGGGTTACTCCACCGCCAGGCAGCCTCTGCCTTCCAGATTATGATGTAACAGTTGCACAACTCACAGATATTTTTGAAAGAAACTGTCAATTTCCTCTCCTGGGCACTGCCGGGGGCTGTGGCCTCCATCCCACCCAGAGTCCCCAACAGCCCCAGGACTCTAGAACCCAAATATAGTGCAGGGTTGTTGAAGTGATAAAGAAACGAAAACGCAAGACTGTAAAGTGACCCAGTTTTATTTTGGTTTTGGAGGCCGGGGGGGGGGGGCATTGCCCCACTGTGCAGGGATCAGGGCTGTACAATCTTCTCCTCCCCAAGGCGGGGGCCCAGGCAGCAGGGTGGAGGCCCGGTGGATTGGCGGCTCCAGGGACCCAGTGACCGCAGTAGGTTGCACAAGGAGAGAAGGGGCATCAGGCAAGCAGCCTGGAATGGCTCAGATTGGGGGGTGGGGTAGAGGAGAATCCGAGAGGACAGAGAATCCAAGAACCGGGAGTCCGAAAGGGGGTCCGGTCCCCTTCACTTTACCGCCGAGGCTCCGGGACAGAGAGGGGGAGCTAAACTGTCATCCTGCAGGAGGCAGGGCCTGGAGTGAGGCCAGGCGTCCCAGCCCGGCGTCAGGCTCTGTGCGCTAACCCGCTGCCTCCACCCTCACGGAGGGTGCGCGCGGGGCCCAGGCGCAGGGTGCGGACTCCGGCGGGCAGTCAGATCCCCTTCTCCTCTCGGGCGCGCCAGGCAGGCGCCCGACCGCATTCAGCAGCTCACCGAGCCGGCGGGTGGCGCCGACCCCAAGTCCGAGAAGCAGTCGAACTCGCTCTGGCCCAGGAAGAGCTCGGGCAGCTCGCGCACGCGGTGCAGCCCGAGCTCCAGCTCCAGCGACGTCAGCGCCTCCTCGTCGATGAGTTCGGCGTCCATGCAGCCCAGGGCG